ACTTCTGCTGACCTGGCTCAGTGGGTCGGGGAAAAGGGGTGCCCAGCCTCCTCTGTGTCTCCAAGTCAGGGGCATCCCAAGGCACCTCACTTGGGTATTCTCAGAAAAGCCAGCCCTGAATCTCAGAGCCACCAAAGGCAGGCAGGATTCGAGCCGGCCTCAAGTATGACTCTGGAATGTAAAGAGGAAAACACGATTTAGGTTAACATGGGACACAACCCATTTCCCGCCCAAACCAAGGTCCAGGGGGACTTCTCATCCCCAGCAGGGGGTGTGTCTACAAAGAACAACCACAAACTGGGGTCATTTCCAAAAGAAACACTCCCGGTTTCCTCCAGGGGCGGAGACCGAGGCGTCTGGGGGAGGAGGCTGGGATGGGTGGAGGCCCGAGGTGGGTAGGTCCGGAGGCACATCCCAGGTCTGGCAGCGTGGGCCAGGCCCTGCTGGGAGGGGGCTGAGGACCCCGGAGCCTAGGCCTGTCCTGAGCCTTTCCTCAGCCGTGAGAGCCTCGGCCCTGTGCTGGCAGCAGCGGTCTTCCCTCCACATAGGCAGCCAGGCTCAAGCTCAGGCCAGCCCCCAGCCACCCCCAGCTCCCAACACGCCCGGCCCTGTGGGAGATGCCAAGCTGGCGTCCCTTTCGAGCCAGGCCTCCTGGTGGTGCGGCCAGCGCTGGCACAGACCTGAATTCCATCAAAGAACAACAAACTGAAAATCCAGCTGAGTTCAAATTTGCCCAAATTACCACTTGAAGCACCTCTCAGGTTCCCTGTCCCAGAGGGTGGTGCCCGCCCTGCCCCAGTGGGGTGTGGTCAAGGCAGCAGCTCCTCCAGGCCACGGGGCATAAGCAAATACCTCCTGGCCCACAGGGGCTTGGCTGGAGCCCTTGACTCAGCCCCACCCAGGCCCCCTCCTGCACCTGGACCGACTCCTGGGACTCCATGACGCATAAGCCGGCAAGTTTCCAGGCTGCCGGGACACAGCCTAAGACGGGGCTCGAGTCCCTGTGGTGCCCATCCCAGGAAACCAGCCTCCACCTGGTCAGTCTCGTGCCCATCCCAGGAAACCAGCCTCCACCTGGTCAGTCTCGTGCCTATCCCAGGAAACCGGCCTCCACCTGGTCAGTCTCGTGCCCATCCCAGGAGACCGGCCTCCACCTGGTCAGTCTCGTGCCCATCCCAGGAGACCGGCCTCCACCTGGTCAGTCTCGTGCCTATCCCAGGAAACCGGCCTCCACCTGGTCAGTCTCGTGCCCATCCCAGGAGACCGGCCTCCACCTGGTCAGTCTCGTGCCCATCCCAGGAGACCGGCCTCCACCTGGTCAGTCTCGTGCTCAATCCAGGAAACTGGTCTCCACCTGGTCAGTCCCAGAGACCTTTCTCCTCACGCCCAAGGTGGGCAGCGCCCCGTTGATTTCAGTCTTTCAGGGTTGACCCTGACCTGACCCGCACCCCACCTCAAGTCTCCACTCCAGCCCCTACACCCAGCCCAGCCCAGTCCAGCCCCACAGGGTCTCCTGACTCACCCAGATCTGCCCCCACAAGAGCCCTCCTCGCTCCTCAGTCGGGGACTGCATGGCGTGCAGGCCCCATGAGCTCCATGGTCCCGGAAGTGAAGGTGGGGCTGGGAGGAGGAAGCGAAGTGGACGTCGGCTTCCTTGAGGGACTCTGGAGCCACTTCAGTGGACATCTTTGGCCAGCAGCACAACTGAGCCTGTGGCCTGTGCAGCCCCAGCCCCTCCAGCAGGATCACTGGCTCATTGGGGATGACCGAGAGACACTCGCCGTCCTCCAGAGCAGGGGTCCCCAGGCTGTGGCTTGTTGGGAACCGGCCGCACGGCAGGAGGTGAGTGGCGGACGAGCGTGACCGCCTGAGCTCCGCCTCCTGTCAGATCAGCAGCAGCACTAACTTCTCACAGGAGCGCGACCCTAATGTGAATGGCGCATGCGCGGGATCCAGGTTGTCCCCTCCTTACGGGAATGGAATGCCTGATGATCTGAGGAGGAAACCATCCCTTCTTCTCCCCAGCACCCACGGAAACATTGTCTTCCACAAAACCTGTCCCTGGTGTCAAAAGGGTTGGGGACCACTGCACTGGTGGGATGGTGCCAGGCCCCTCAGCCCCTTCCCGGAGCCTGAGAAAGGGTTCAAGAAACCCAGGGGGCCAGTCGGTTCACCAACCACCCCCCACCCTTGGCTCAGCCGAGTCAGGGGCTCCACCCAGCAGGCAGAGATGAAAACTCACGGGGGCGTCTGCGGGAGGGGAATGTCCACTGCCACCTGCCAGGTCACGGGGGACACTGGAGGTCTCCTCTGCCTCCGTTCCCCTGGCCTGGGTGCCTGGGGATTCAGATTCACCCTTGTGTGGAGGTGGGGAGGCAGGACTGGGGAGGACCCCGAGTCTCCCAGGCAGGCAGCCTGGCGCCAGGTGGGGGAACTGTGATCCAGCAAACCTGCTCATTCCTGTGGGCGGCTAACGGCTTTTATTTCAGGACACTCACATGTGTTAAAACAGGAAATAAAGTATGAGAAACGGCACTCCCACACACTCCCGGGAAGGAGGCTCTCCCTCAGTCCCCCACCCGCACAGCCCCAGGAGGGACCCCTGGGCACAGCCCACGCCTCCACCTCCCATCCACCCCCCACATTCCTGGGCTGCTCTTCCTCTGAAGCATTTTAACACACACGCGTGAGTGCACATACACATGCGCGTTTACCAACAGTGCTTGTCCCCTGTAGCGTCTCCTTCCACCTGGGGCAGGTGGCATCGGGGGCAGGTGCCCGCTGACTCAGGACTTGCTGCTCCTGGAACTCTCAACCTGTGGCTGCATGAGTCCCACCCTGAGGGCTGATGACGTGGACCCACAGAGTTCTGGGCCTGCCCCAAACCTCAGAGCAGGTCACGCTGAATGTCCAGACACCAAGGAGCTTCAGGCAAGGTCAGGGGCCAGGCATCATGACAGTGTCCCTGGGAAACTGCAGGCCCAGCCGGGCATGTGTCTCCCGGGAATCTGCTATGGGGGCCCCAGCACTGTGCCGTGCTCCCAGGGGGACCCCCACCCACCCAGGCCAGGGCCAGGACCAGGGGTGGCAGCTTCATGCAGTGGTCAATGCTGTGCAGGGTCTGGGGGCTGGCACAGGGGAGGGGCTGGTACAGGAGAGGGGCTGGCACAGGGCAGGGGCTGGTACAGGGGAGGGGCTGGCACAGGGGTGGGGCTTGTTACAGGGGAGGGGCTGGTACAGGGGAGGGGCTGGCACAGGGGCGGGGCTGGCACAGGGGAGGGGCTGGCACAGGGGAGGGTCAGTTCTGAGTGATTCTGACCAGGACTTGCGTGTGGAGGGCTTGACCCCCCAGGTGGGACCCCAAGTTTACCCACGGTTCCCCCACCCTATATGCACACGGGCGGAGGTCGGATGGCTGCCTGCCCAAGGCCCTGCAACTGGCTCATAGGGTCTGCTCCACTCTTGAGCCAAGTGCTGAGTATCTGCCTGGTGGGGGAGCTTGGTGGGGAACGTTCTGTCTCTCGTAAATCCACTTGGGGCTGGGTGTGACTGTTTAGTCGAGGTTGGTCATGAATGTTTGGAGGTTTATGTCACTGTGCCTCCGTGGTTGGTCAAGAATGTTCAGAGGGTTATGTCACTGTGCCTCTGTGGAACTGGCACCGAGCTCGTCTTGCCTCCTCTTCTGTTGAAGAAATGATGCCCCTTTCTGGGGTCACGTTCTCAGGGTGGGTGGGGGTGGCTGCCCCTCTGACCAAAGCCCCCGTAAGCCTGGCACCTGTCCCCGAGGAGGCCTGGTCTCTCCCTGGTGCCGCAAGGTGCCAGTGTGGGGGCAAGCCGGGGTCCCCCTGGCCCTGGGGGAGAGAGGGCTCCTTCCTGGCCTGGGTCCCTTGGCGTAAGGAGAGGAGGTGGCCCCTGCCTTCACCAAGGGGCTCCCCATCAGTACCCCTAACCTGGTCAGAGGGAGGGTACTTAGGTCTCCTGTGCCAGTTTCCAGCAATGGCTGTCCTCGGGGCCTGCCTTTGGTCAGGCCACCCTGGAACAACCTTCGCTCAGCCACTGATGGCTGTGGCTGTGGGATTCAGCTCCTGGCAGGACCTTGGAGGGAAGCCACTGCCGACCAGCCAGGTCCCACCCCCCGCCCGCCGGACCACACAGGAGCGCCCCCTCCTCTCGGAGCCCTAGGGGCGGCCCCAGCCTGGCGTCGAGCATTTGATGATGTCCCTGACCCCATGTCCCTCTGAGGGTCCCTAAGAGAAAGCTTGACAGAGGCCTTGTCAAGGAGGGCTGGACTCAGGAGCAAAGGCGCTCCCTCCAAACCAGAAACTCACCCTGGAGCCCGAAGGGCCTTGAAAACAAACAGGCAAAGTGACTTCAGTTTTTCTTTCCACAAAGAGGCAGTTGTGGCACCAGAAAAGTGAAGACGTCCTTCTCCCGGGAACACGGTTGACTCTGAAGTTTGTTCTATCCTAAAGGTGTCACTAAAGCCACCTGGCCATTTTGCAATCCATCCAAAGGATCCCCCAACCCGTGGTCACCTTCAGAAGGTCCTTACACCAGGTGCCACTGTGTGGGTCTATGACCTGCACACCCTCTTCCCCAAGGGCAGAAGCAGAGGCCTCACAGAGGGCTGTGCCAGAGGCAGCCACGGGTTCCGGAAGCCCCTCTCCTGGCCTCGAGGCTGTATCTCGACAACATTGCCGTGGAGGTAGAATCAGACGGGAGAGTCCCTGTCCCTTCAGTGAGTGTCACTCCTCCTCCCTGCAGATAAACAGCTACCTCCAGTGGGGATGCAAAGGGGCCATTCCAGTCAGTGCATTTGACACAGCTTGGGGTTGTCAGGCAAGAAATGAACACCAAGGTGAAGACCTTTGAGAGGGAGGCCCTGATCCGGAAGCCAGCCAGCCAGCGAGGAGGAAACGTGGGGCAGCTGGGCAGAGAGCTCTCCCAGGCAACCTGGCTGAGCGGGAGGGCACTGCAGAGACGGGCGGCCCAGCCAGGGCTCCAGCAGATATGGGAGTGAGCCAGGCCCTGGGCCAGGCAGGTGCAAGCGCATTCCAGGACTGGAGGTTGTGTGTGAACGTCTCACCGCACTTCGGATGGACAGATAGAGGTAGGTACAGAGACTGCAGATGGCTGGACACATAGACAGGACAGACGTGTGAGGGGGTGTATGTGTGTGTGAAGACTCTGTAGACTCAAACAACAACTGCTACCCAGTGACAGAGAACACAGGCTTTGAAATCAACAGACCTGAGTTCGCGCGTCAGTCCTACCACGTGACCGTGAACACGTATCAGACAGTTCCTTGATCCCCAACGTGGAGAGGGTCACTGTGAGCCTGATGTGACCCCTCTTTGGAAGGACTGTAGTCACCGTGAGGGGCCAAGGTTTGCTCTCAGGGCTCTGATTCTCATTCAGCTGTGTGCTGGGCACCACTGTAGGGCTTAAGACACTTCCACGAGAAACAGGCTCCTGCCCTGAAGGGCGCCTCCACGTGGGGGGCGATGCCGTCTGCCGTGAAGAAGCCTTTGTCGTGTGGCGTGGGTGACGGGGCTCAGACCAGCACTGGGTGGGAGCAGCTGAGCCAGGCAGTGGCGCTCAGCAGGGACTGGGGGGCTTGGTGGGAAGGGGACTGGCAGGAGGCCAGGAAAGAACATTCCAGGTTCTCAGCCCTAGTGAGGGTGGAGACCACCGGGAGAGGAGAAGCACGGAGGCCATGTCAGGGGAGGCTGGTGGGAGGGAGGCACAGAGTCCAGAGGGTCCCTTGCGACCAGAAGGGGCACCCCCAAACTCCTGAGATCCCTGTGTCCACCGTCGCAAGGGAAAGGGGACTCCAAGCTGGCCTCGGTTTGATTGAACAAACAAAGCAAATGAAATAAAACAAAACACTGACATGTCTCGCCCACTGGAGACATGGAATGAGACTCACGGTGGGTGAAGAGTTGGCTTTGAGTTGTGCTTTGGGAAGTCAGGAGAGAAAGGAGACAGCCCCACCGCAGAGGCTCATGGAAGGCCAGGTGGACAGAGGCACGAAGGAAGGCACAGGGCTCCTGGCCCCAAGAGGTTTGGGTTTATCAAGATAACAGACGTCTACGCAGCTCGTCCCAGGACAAGGCGGAGGGAACAGAGCTGTTCCCCCAAATGCCTGTGTTCCTCGGTTGCCATGACTTAACTCCATGGAGAGCTGAACCAGCAGACTGAGCAGAAGCTGGGGCCTCACCGACGTGGCCGGGGCCGAGGCTCAGCCTGTCAGCGTGAACCGTTCGTCACCAGCACTTTACAGACCATGCAATGGCAGCTTTCACGGGCCATGAGCAAAACAATCCCAACCTTATTTTCCACAAGCACCAACAGATGTTTAAGATTGGGGAGAAATTTCTAGGACTGGAACGTTTCTCAGGCAGGGCCTCTGGAGCAGCTCCAGGGAGCTGCACGCCCAGGGCCTGGTGCTGTTGTTCTAAGTGCGCCCTTCACACATCAGGAATGTCAAACAGAGCTGACCTCAGCACCGCCGAGAGTCCCACTCCAAACAGAGCCCTCTCCAGCAGCAGGCAGGCTCCGCGGTGTTTGTCTAATTTAAAACAAACTAGTTGGGCGGTATATTATTTCTCCAACCAAACAGGATTGAAAGCCGCATGTGCGAGGCATGACTATTGCTTCCTGCTGAAGTCCAGGCATCCCTCAAGCCTGCTCAGCACATTTAGGAGAAAGGAGACGATTGTTTCCCATCTCACTGAGAAAATAGAAGCAATCAGAAAAGAATGTCCACGTGCTCCGACCACACCATCTTCCCATCCAACTGTGCTGCCCAGCCAGACCCGCCCCCATCCCCCACTCCAGGCTGGCCAGGAGCTCTGGTTGCCCCTCGGTGGGGCCACCCTCAACAACAGTCGTGCTGTCCCCTCTCCTGCCTGCCAGGGGCCCCCAGCTGCTGCCTGTCTGCTCTTTTTCAAGATGCCCCTCTAGGAACACAGCCTTCCGTCTCCACTTCCTCTCTTCCTAGTCTTTCCTGAGTCCTCTCTAACCAAGCTCTTACGGCCCCGACTCCACTAAACATGCTTTTGCTGATGTTACCGGCAAAGGCTAACCCTGGCGTCAATCCTCAGCCCTCATCTTGGCTGAGCAGCAGCACCCAGTAGGAGCAGTAGAAAGCGTGTTCTTCCTGCGGCTTCCGGGACGCCTGTCTCCTGGCCTGCTCTTGTGATGTTCATCCCTGTATTCGCTTCCTATTGCTGCCACAGCCGATTACCACAAACCTAGTGGCTTAAAGCAACACACATTTATTATCTTACAGTTCTGGGAATCAGAAGTCCCACATGGGTTTCACTGGGCTAAACCAAGGTGTCAGCAAGAGTCTCTTCTTTCTGGAGGTTCTGGGGGGAATTCACTTCCGTGCCTCTTCCAGCTTCTAGAGGCTTCCTATCTTCCATGCCTCTGGGCTCCTCCCTCCACCTCTAAAGCAAACGCATCACTCTGACTTTTGCTTCCGTAGTTACGTCTCCTCTGGTGCCATCTTCTCTGAAGAAGTTACATCTTCTCTGCTTGCTTCCTTCTTGTGAGGACTCTCATGATTGCACTGGCCACCTGGTTAATCCAGGATAATCCCCCACCTCAAGACCCTTAATTTAGTCACACCTGCAGACTCCCTCTCGACACATAAAGTAGTGGGGAGTGAGATGTGGACATCTTTGGGGGCCATTATCCTGCTGCCTGCCGTTGGTCCCTGGCTTCCAAAGACTCACATGGACGCCACTGCACCTCAGCGTCAGAGAACGTCTACCTCATTACAGCATCAAGTCAAAGTCCAGAAATCTCATCAAATTTACTCAATTCAAACATCCCAATTTCATAATGTAAACTAGGGATGGGTTAGGGTTAGGGTAGAATCCATCCAGAGACGTAATTCCTCTCCACCTGTAAACCTGCAGAACTCAAGAAACAAATGATCTGCTCGCAAACATAATATTAGGACAGACATATGTTGACAGTTATAGACATTCTCATTCAAAAAGGGAGAAAACGGAAAGAATAAAGGAGTCCCCAGTCCCAAGCACTTTGAAAATCCAGCTAAGCAAACATTAGATTTTAAGGCCGGAGAAAATAATCCTCTGTAGGTCCCAGATCCAGCCTCTGGGCTCATGGCTCCACCCTTGGAGTCCTCCTTCCTTTTTCAGGAAAGGTAGCACGCGCTTGCCACTGAGTGGGTTTATCAGCCTGTTTCCTTCTGATAGAATTTCAGAGACTCCAAGAGTGTTCTTTCATCTTTCATTTCATACTTTCTCTGTTCCCTTCAGTCCCAGTTGGCAGTGTTTCTGCTGATACAACATTCTCAAGAACGTTGTGGTCTCCTGTGTATGTCATGCACAGGATTCACCCGATTTCACAAGAAGGTCCTCCCAAGGCCTTTCACAGATAGTCCTGCCTCTGTCTTCTGCTGAGATGACTGAGGGGCTCCTGAGTCATTCATCTGAAGTCTTCAAAGGCTCCTCTGTGTGACTGAATACACGGGCTTTTGATACCCTCAAGGGACTGGTAGAATGTTGTCCAGCCACTGTGTTGGCTTTCTTTTCAGAGCACAGATTCATGCACATATGCACACATGCACACTGCACACACATACATACTATATACAATACACTGTGTATACACAGAGACATGCTACAGCACATGTGCACACACAGACACACATTCTGCACACAATACTGCATGCATGCACATACAGCACAGCACATACATGCACACATGCTGCAGCACACACAATACTGCACACACAGCACACAATCCTGCAAGTACACCATACACAGTATGCACACATACCACATAAACCTTATAGATACCCTGTATATACACCAGATATGTTAAATATGCCTTTTGCACACACAGAATACACGCAAACACATGTGCTCTGTACTCGTAGAGAAACGCATCCACACACACACACCATACATGTGCACACCCACGTGGATGATAGAAAAGCCATCATATAAACATGCAACTCTAAGGTCTTGCCTGATGATGTCAGAGAAGCTACCCAGGCAGGGTTGAGAAGTGGGAGAAATTGACGGACTCAAAGCCGACACAACCAGGACCAGGTGCTCCCCAGCAGAGTCTGGAGCATGGGAGGTCCTGGGCATGAGCAGCGTGGTGCCCAAGGTCTGGACTTGGCTGTGTGACCACATCTTGCTGCATCGCCCCAGCAATGACCACATGTCTGCCACCAAGGAGGACACTTGTCCTGGGGCTGGGATGGTGACTCTGCTGAGCCCAGGGACCAGGAGCAGGCAAACTGGGGTTGGGAGGGTCGCAGGGTTCCTGCAGGCACTACTTCAAAGGTCACAGGACATGGGAGAGCCGGAGCAGAGAGGCCCAGCTGCACCCTTCAGGAGCAGATTGCCAGGAACATCCGGGATTCACCTGGCCCTGAGCTCAAGTCCCTGGCTTCCGCTCAGCACCTTGTGACTTCAAGCTGACTCTGTAACCCCTGACTCTCAGCGTCTTCATCCAACAAAGGGAGGTGGGGAGGCCCACCCCGAGAGCTGCTGTGAGGACAAAACGAGGGTCTGAAAGAACGGATCGGCCGCTGGTAGAGGCCCCGTCTCTTCACCCACTCTTTGTCCCCAAACTACTCTCCTTTTTCTTCTAAGGGAAAGGAACAGGAACCATGAATTAGGCATACAGCATCTCAGGCCCTCGGCCCCCTGCCTGTTCCTCTGGGCTCCCCAGCCCCAGCGAGGCCCCCGTCCTCCCTGCTGTGGTCTCTCACAAGCTGCCAGAGGGGGCAAGGACTTGGGTCTCCCTAGTCAGACACAGGGCTTCAGTGGGAGGCCCATTCTGAAGATGAGTGGGAGGTGGAGGGGCATTTCCAGCCAGTTCTACACACCGAGAAGCCCCAGGCATGGGAACTCCATACTAAGGCTGAGCCCTACCTGAGACTGTACGTGGGCGCCAGCCCAAGACCCTCACTTCCTCTAGGGACCATCAGCTGGAGTGCACGTGGGCGCCAGCCCCAAGACCCCCACTTCCTCTAGGGTCCATCAGCCGGAGTGCACGTGGGCGCCAGCCCCAAGACCCCCACTTCCTCTAGGGGTGGGCGCCAGCCCCAAGACCCCCACTTCCTCTAGGGTCCATCAGCCGGAGTGCACGTGGGCGCCAGCCCCAAGACCCCCACTTCCTCTAGGGACCATCAGCCGGGATGCAGAGAGGCTTGGTGCCTAACTACTTCATTTCAGCAGCCCATAGGTGGCAGGCTGTCCAGCCCTCACCTGCCTGTGTTAAAGCCAGCGCATCAGGGCGAGCTCCTTCCGCTGAACTTCTCTTTGCCTGTAGATTGGTTCAAGGACCGAAGCACAGACTGGATTCTGATTCTGCCATTAGCAACTATTATCGTCAAATGACCCAAACTCCAGGCCCTGGTTTTGTGACCTGTCAAAGGGGCATCAAATACCTACCATGTTGGGTTTCATAATATAAATAAGATGCCGTGTTAGTTTCCTGCAGCAGTCTTTAACAAATTACCACAAAGTGGGCAGCTTAAAACGATAAATATTTATTCTCGCACAGTTCAGGAGGCTGGAAGTCCAAAACCAGGCAGCAGGGCTCCCTTCAGAGACTCCAGGGGAGGCCCTTCCTGCCCCTTCCAGTCTGGGGCTGCAGGCATTTCTTGGCTTGCGGCCACAGCACTCCAGCCTCTGCCTCTGTGGTCACACGGCCTCCTCGTCTTCTGTCTTCTAAGAATACTTATCACTGGATTAGAGCCCCCCAGGTAGGCAGGAATGATCTCCCCAACTCAATACCCTTCACGTAATTAAATCTGCAAAGACCCTTTTTCCAAATACGGTCACAGTCCCAGGCGCTGGGAATTAGGATGTGGACATATATCTTTGAGGGTTACCCTCAGCCTACTACGGATGTTGTAAAGTGTTCCGTATGGAAGTGTCCAGCACAAAGCAAAGACACAAGAAGATGGCTGCAGGTGTTGCAACAGATGTGGTGGGATCGTTTCCAGAGCCTGCAAGCTCCACGAACAGGGACCTTCTCACCTGTACCACCACCAAATTCCCAGCCAATTAGACTGGGGTGGCCAGATGGATGCTTCTTGGGTCTTAGGGAGTTAAATCTAGCTCCCTTCAACTGGGGTACACAGGCCCCAGCCTTCACCTAGTCCTCTGCTCCCACCCAGCTGCCCAGCATCCTCTGTCAGACAGCGCTAGCCATGGCCCCCTTGAGGCATGGGCTGTGCAAGGTGGGGCCATGGCTGGCACTCAGTATGGAGCAATGTCAGGTTTGGTGTCCCTGTTCCTCCACCCATCCATCCAGAGGGAAGACGAAGGCCCAGGAAGTGGTGTCTGCCAGTGTCTCTCACCTAGCTGGCTCTTCCCAGACAGTCACCTGTTAATCTTTAGTGCTTCTTGGTGTATAGAGTTGGCTGGAAATGCCCCTCCACCTCCCACTCGTCTTCTACCCTCATGTCAAAGCTGCAGCTCCAGGGACACCGAGGAGAGGCCTGCTGGCCACAGAGTGTGTCAGGGCGGCCGAGCTGGCCCGCCATGCACTACGTCCTTTCCACTGCACCACATCATCTCTGCAAAGCCAAGGGCTTCAGGAGCAGAGGGAGAGGGCAACTCCTGGTGTTAACTCTGCCTTCATCCTTGAGCCATTCCTGTGGCAGGTGGCATTGTACACTCAGTCCTTCCTTCCCTTCCAGCCCCAGCACCATGGATTGGCCATGGGACTTGCTGTGACCACTGGAGTGTGGCAGGGGACAGTGGGTGCAGTTCTGAGCATAGGTAAGTATGTGCTTCCCCTCGCCCTCCTGCACGCCTGGCCTGGGACGTGCCCCAGGGGGACCTTCTGCCTCTTCCATCAGGTCTCAGAATGAGAGCCAAGCCGCACACCTGAGAGGCACCTGCAGCCTGAAGCACACCAACATAGGTGTCAGAGACAAACAGCTTCTTCTAAACCACTGGGATTGGTGGGGCCATTTGTACACAGCATTATTATAACAATAGCTGAACAATAGAGAATTTGGTGCCAAAAGTAGGTGCTGACGTAATAAAACCTAAAGTATTAATCTATGGCACTGGCTGATAGATTGGGTGGTGAATAAACTACTTTAGGAAGTCGGGAAATGGCAACTTGTGACGTACAATGGTAAAAAAAAATCACTAAAATGGGTTCCTGTAAAAACTTAGAAAGCAGGAAACATAGCTAATGCAGTCCTGGCTTTGGGCGAAAAGCTTTCCAAGCAAAATGTCTCCAGAGTGAATAATCTTTGCTACTGCATTTGATAAAGTACCTCAAGAAAAAGATAAGCTCAGGAAGGAAAGTCAAGCTTGCAGCAGAATTGAGGGAAAATGCAGGGAGCTCAGAAATTCTAGCATTTGCAAGATTAAAATAAGACATTTTTCAGCCAATAATTAATATATTGAGGAGTAGCTTGAGCTGGAAAAGGTTTTTAAGAGTTAAAACTTGGCATCAGGGCGCTGTGAATTCGAGTGCAGACCCCAGGCCCCACCTCAGGGCTCAGGTGACACCCCCTAATCACTGCCTGTTCACATCCAAGGCAACTAAGACCAGAGGAGGCGACTCTCAGAGCCCCGGCGTCTGGGAGGTGGGCGTCCTTGGCAGCCTCAGGGATTTCTGCCACCGTGGGGCTTATCTCAGTGTTCTCAGTAGTTGGAACAGCCCATAGCAGCCGCTGAGTCTGCCATCCTGTTATGAAGGAAATACGCTGAGGGAAAGCGGGTATGAGGCTGGCGCGGACAATAAACAGAGGTGTGCCAACTGGGAAACACGGGGAGGCTGCAGTTGCCACCCGCAGACACCAACATCCCTGCCCTGAACTGACCTTCCCCGCGTCTCAATTCTCTGCCAACCGCGTTTTTACTTCAAACCAGCACAGCCAAGTCACCCACGTCAGGAAGGGCAGAAGGTCATCCAGCCTGGACCTGCGAGGAGGCCCTCGGTGGCCTCAGCCCCCAGGGCGCTGCCAAGAACCTGCCATCCTGGACGTTTGCTCGGCCTGCCTGGGAAACAGCTCATCCCGCATGGCAAGCCACAGAGAGGCTGGGATATGGAGCAGGCCCAGGTCTAAATCTTGGCTTTGCCACTTCCTGTGTGGCCCGGGACTTCCCTGAGTCTCAGTACACACGTGTGTGAACCCGAAACGCAACCAGTGCAACCTGGAGGTGCTGTGGAGTGGCTGAGGTGTGTGCACATTTTCGCAAAGGCCACTTGAGCAATAGCTGGTTCTTTGAAAGTCTCGCTGAGGCAACGGAGGAAGAGCAGAAGGAGGGGGCCGACGACGGGGCGATGACAGGATTATAAGGAACCACGACCAGCGCCTGCTCCATGAATGTGTGGGCGTCTGTGGGAAGCGTCACACACAACCCCGGCCAGAGCCAGGCGACAGGCTGAGAAACCCTAACAGTGGCATTGTCGGAAACCGATTTACTTTGTTCAAAAAAATGGGATAATCCTGGAAAACTGGCAAAATCCCAGGGGTGACTTGGAGACAAAGCGTATGCACTCCAGGGATCAAACCAGGAAGAAACACGTGGGGCTGTCATGGTGAGGGGAGTACATTCTGGAAGGCACTGGAAGAAACCCAGTTTCGTGACCTCAGATGGCCAGTAGCAGCACGAAGGGTCTGTGTGAAGAAACACCAGCCCTGCTGTCTCAGGCATCCGTGCCTTTGTGGCAGCACTGGCATTTCTCTTTGCTCAAAGTTTTAATTCTGTTTTGATGTCAGCAACACGTCAACACTCATATTCTAGATAGCAAATTTGTCCCTCTGCTCCTTATGGCTAATGCAAAAGTAAACTCCAATTTCCATTTGTCTAAATTATAAAAAATTCAAGTGGAATCACATAGGATTCAGAGGAATAGGATTTTCCCGTTTCTGCTGTCATCTTAAAATGGCACACAAGCTTCCCTCCCCCTCCACTCACCCTGTGACTTCCTTCTGGTCCACACCCTCCCTCAGGGCGTCTTCTCAGAGGGTGCAGAAACTAGAACTTTCACAAAACAGAGGCCAGCCTGGCCCTGTCCTGAGCCCGTCTCATTCTTTCCTGTCTGTGGACAGGCCCAGACCTCAAGGAGACCACACACTGCGAGACCGTCTTTGCCACAGGCTGCCCTGGCCCAAGGTGGAGGAGCAAAGCCGCCCTCACAGGCTCCCAGACATACCCCTACTGCAGCTGGAGGCGAGGGTCTCTGCCTGGACCAGCTGTGCTCATCGAATTGACTGCACCCTGCACGGGCCACAAAGGCCCTGTGAATTCCTTCCTGATGTTGCCAGTTTCTCTGGCCAGGGCGTTTGCCCTCCTGGGGAAGCTCAATGTCTTCATGTAAAACAAAGGCAATTGTTACCTCCAGGACCCTGGAACTCCATCTGTCTGTCTCTGGTGACCTGACCTTCTCTGGATAGCTGCACAGGACTCGGTTCTCTGGGCCATCTGGGACCCTCTGTGCCAGGCCCTAACTTCCGGAAGGCTCGGCCACAGTTATTTCCCCTCTTACACACGAGCAGTGAGTCTAAGTGCACGTGGGAGAGCTCTGCCGGGTCCTGCTGCTAAGCTCTCTGGCGGGTGCTGCGAGGCTGTCCGAGCTCTCCAGGTCGCCCCTCCAAGGTGGCTGACGAACGGAAGCTCTGTCCCAGCCATGGCTCCTGAGTGCCTTTTGTCCGCCCCTCACCCATCCCAGCAAACGGCCACTCAGCAAGCCCTTCCTGGAGGGATCCACATCCTGAAACGGCCCCCCAGTGTGGGAAAAGCCCAGAGCACCACACTGACACCCGGAGCCCAGGGCCGACAGTGGCAGCTGCTGCTGGGGGCCCTGTGGGTCAGGGCGGTGCTACCCACCCTCGGGCGATGCCCGAATGCCCTCCAGGAATGCCAGAGGTGGTATCTGGGTGATGGACACACCCCCCCAGGCGTGGAATACAGGCCCATTCCCCCCTGCACTCCCCAGGCGTGGAATACAGGCCCGTTCCCCCCTGCACTCCCCAGGCGTGGATATCCAGGCCCGTTCCCCCTCCACCAGCGCTCACTCAGGAACCACACACGAGGATGCCCAGCTGCCAGCTGAATCCCTCAGACAGGCCACTCTGGGAGAGTCTGCTTGTCTTCAGGGACCGTGCAGAGTGAGCATCTGACCCTCCCTCCAAGAAGGGCAAGGGTTTCTCTCTGCGTGCTGGGGTGACGGAGAGGGATTCTCTCTGCGTGCTGGGGTGACGGAGAGGGATTCTCTCTGCGTGCTGGGGTGATGGAGAGGGATTCTCTCTGCGTGCTGGGGTGATGGAGAGGGTTTCTCTCTGAATGTTGGGGTGATGGAGAGGGTTTCTCTCTGCGTGCTGGGGTGATGGAGAGGGATTCTGCGTGCTGGGGTGATGGAGAGGGATTCTCTCTGCGTGCTGGGGTGATGGAGAGGGTTTCTCTCTGCGTGCTGGGGTGACGGAGAGGGATTCTCTCTGCGTGCTGGGGTGACGGAGAGGGATTCTTCTTTCTGCGTGCTGGGGTGACGGAGAGGGTTTCTCTCTACGTGCTGGGGTGATGGAGAGGGTTTCTCTCTACGTGTTGGGGTGATGGAGAGGGATTCTCTCTGCGTGCTGGGGTGACGGAGAGGGATTCTCTCTGAATGTTGGGGTGACGGAGAGGGTTTCTCTCTGTGCTGGGGTGACGGAGAGGGATTCTCTCTGCGTGCTGGGGTGACGGAGAGGGTTTCTCTCTACGTGCTGGGGTGACGGAGAGGGATTCTCTCTGAATGTTGGGGTGATGGAGGGGGATTCTCTCTACGTGTTGGGGTGATGGAGAGGGATTCTCTCTGCGTGCTGGGGTGACGGAGAGGGTTTCTCTCTGAATGTTGGGGTGACGGAGGGGGATTCTCTCTACGTGTTGGGGTGACGGAGAGGGATTCTCTCTGCGTGCTGGGGTGACGGAGAGGGATTCTCTCTGCGTGCTGGGGTGACGGAGAGGGATTCTCTCTGCGTGCTGGGGTGATGGAGAGGGTTTCTCTCTGAATGTTGGGGTGATGGAGAGGGTTTCTCTCTGCGTGCTGGGGTGATGGAGAGGGATTCTGCGTGCTGGGGTGATGGAGAGGGATTCTCTCTGCGTGCTGGGGTGATGGAGAGGGTTTCTCTCTGCGTGCTGGGGTGACGGAGAGGGATTCTCTCTGCGTGCTGGGGTGACGGAGAGGGATTCTTCTCTCTGAATGTTGGGGTGATGGAGAGGGATTCTCTCTACGTGTTGGGGTGATGGAGAGGGATTCTCTCTGCGTGCTGGGGTGATGGAGAGGGATTCTTTCTGCGTGCTGGGGTGACGGAGAGGGTTTCTCTCTACGTGCTGGGGTGACGGAGAGGGTTTCTCTCTACGTGTTGGGGTGACGGAGAGGGATTCTCTCTGCGTGCTGGGGTGACGGAGAGGGTTTCTCTCTACGTGCTGGGGTGACGGAGAGGGATTCTCTCTGCGTGCTGGGGTGATGGAGAGGGTTTCTCTCTGCGTGCTGGGGTGATGGAGGAAGGTAAGCTCATCGAGGAGTGAGCAGACCCGCTGGGCCAGGGTGTTTGGGGCCCCGGGTGGGCGTGCACCTGCTCTGTGAGGGGGAGGCTGCACATGGCTTAGCAGAGCCAAACCCTCATCATCACGACTGGGGAGTCTCAAACCCGAAGTCTCAGTGTGGCTCAGGGGAATGCGGACGCCCCGGGGGAGGTCGCCATGACCCGCAACCATCAGACAAGACCAGGGGCCTCCCCAGGTTTCAGGGTCTGCAGACCTTTTCCAACACACAAACGTCTGTAGCCGGAGGCCCCACAGACACCTCGAACTCAAGAGGGCACAAAATCAAGCCCGTCACTAACCCTCCCGTCGGCCCCTCCCCAGTGATGTCAGTGTCAGACGTCAAGGACTGTTCCCAACCTCCTCCTCCCACCCCACCCCCAAGTCCTGATTGAACCTGCTCTGTTTCCTGCTGGCCCAGCTCTGGCAAAGCCTCCTCTCACGGCAACCACCTAATTCCTCTGTTCGGAGCTCCATGGTGGTCCCCGGGCTCAGGGAGGCCAGACTT